GGGGGCTAAAAGCCTACAACAGACTTATGTACTGTGACTGAGGCGATCTCGAATTATCTGTTTTTCAAAATGCACACTCTTGTCCTGAGAAGCTCTAAAGTCATTTCATTCTTTCTCAAATTTTTAAAGTTCACATTTCAATCATTGTTTGTGTTTATGTATATTATCAGTGCCATTCCACAATCGCCAAACGCAGTTTTTGAGGTTTTCCTGGTATAGCAGTTATTCAAATTAAGACATCATTGGATAGCTGACAATATAGTTTTGTTGTATTTCCTTATTTCCTTTCTAGTTTTTTAAAATTAAGAGCTCACAAGAGCTCTAGTCTTGTTTCTGATTTGTGTGTACTCTTTTTCTTTAGTTTCTCAAAACTTTTATTAAAATTACGACATTTCTTGTGGAATGATGCTGTTGATATAACTTTGCTTGCCATTTTGCTTTGTCTTGCATGCTCATGTTCCATTGAATTTCTCATTATTTCCCATTGTTCTACTCCGCGGGTGATTGGCGGGTGCTCTGGTGTGGTTTGCTCCTTTTTTCTTATCAAACATCTATCGTCATGATCTCTCCTCCGTCTTTTTTTATGTTTGTAACTCTCTTGTAACACCTCTGATCTTCGGTACTTGTATGATCCTATTGTGTTGCAAGTGCCATAAATCTCTTACTAAAACACTATTCTACTCCTTAATATTTTTTACTCTTCCTTTTACTGTCTGGTGTCATCTGCACGAAGGGCCCCATTGTAAAACAGACTCTACTAGAAGATAGAAAAATAGTTATTTAATATGCTGATGCCTCTTTCTGGACCCGGACTGTACTTGATGAATTCATTCACTCCTCTTTGACTGCTACCGTGACTATTGGAGAACTTTTTCATTACTTCTTCAAGTTTGTGGAAATTGTACTTTTTAGTTATTTCTGTTCTTGAAATGTTGATAAAGTGGGGGGGTTTTCGTGGTGTCCTTTATTCATGGTTTCCCCATATGCATGATTCTATTAACTAAATTCGAGTGTACTTTTAAGTCTCAAAAAGAAAGAAAATGATATTACAAATCTGTTGACATGCATTTCAGTGTAATGCTTAGGCCTACTGCAAATTCCTGTGAAATGTGAACACTAGGCATGGTTTTGATGCATGTATTTTATATTTTTTGCCATGTACTTGTGTTATATTGTAATTGGTAAAGGTGTAGGTAGCCATATGTTTTGTCTTTTCTGTATATCAGATGCACTCTTTTTCTTGCAGTAGCATTTTGTAATTTATTCTGTTTGCACGGACAATTTTTATTTGAAGCATTAGTCTTTTGAATGATTTTTGGCTGTACTGCATGTTGGGGGTTTTATTTTGTTTTTCTTTAGTTCCTTCTGTAAAGCTCAACGGTCACAAAAATATAGCATCACAGAAGCATGGATATTTTTTTTTTAACTCAACAAATTCTTATGCGAAAGTTAACAATAAGCTAAAATCCTTGGCCCTGTTGTTCAACTTGACCTGGCTACCACAGTTTGAGGTTCAAAATTGAGTAAGGTCCAAATTCTTTCTCGATTGTTGCTAAATCATATCCATTCCACCTGTTGTCCTAACAGAGGACCAAGCGCTTCACCTTCAAAATAAGCTGTAGCTACTTTCTGTCTCGTAACCAATGAAGTGTCTATTAAAGGAAAAAGAAATTGGTCTACTTATTAATGTTATAAGAATAAGTACCTTCAAAATAAGCTACATTTTATCTAGTAAGCAATGAAGTGTCTATAAAAAGAAAAAAAAGTTGCTCAACTTATTAATGTTATAAGAACAAATAAACAGACTGAATGGTACCCCATTTGATAATGAAAAGCTTTCAGATGATCCTCCTTTTTGTATACAGTGTGCGTGGTACTTCTAAAGTTTTGAGAAAATCAAAGGGAAAGAGATCAGCCAAACCAGAACCATGAACTCATTGTCTTTCAGTTTAAAAACTAGGAAGGAAATAATGAAACAGAGGGAAACTATATTCTGAAATGCCCCTTCATGTCTTTATTGGATTAACAGTTTAAACTGGAAACCCCTAGAAACTGAATTGGGCGATAGCGGAATGATGCTGACAATAATCTCAAATAGAAGAGTGAGCTGTCTAAGAATGCTGCAGTCTTTGTTCAGGGTTCCTGCGGCCTCCTTGAATTCAAGGAGTCCTTGAAAATTCCTTGATATGAATTTGCATTCAAGGAAAAAATCTCCTTGAAAACTTGAAATTGAGGAACCTCCTTGAAAACTCCTTGAATTTCGATGGATCGGACATGAACTAAAAAATTTTTGTCGGATTGCTCTTGGTGCACCGTCGAAAACGGCATGAGTTTCTAGACCAGATCTCTTTGAATTTTGAAAATGTCTCCTTGAAACCTCCTTGAATTTGGTGGGAAGTTCATGGCAGGTACCCTGTTTGTTGTTTTGTTTATTGATGTTGTGGTTGCTTTTCATGCATGCCGGCCTGTTCTGTTGCATGTTTGTAGAGCCCACTGAGTCTGGCCCGACTACTGAGACCCCACACACAACACCAAGTATTGGAACTTTTAAAAGGTGAAAACGAAATTTTGCAGATCTAATTTTAGATGTGGTTAAGATAATAATCACTCAGGGTTTTTTTTATGATTCTCATTTTGATGGATTTCTTCAGGAAGAAGGAAAATCCTACACTTATGTCAGCTATGTTGCATAGAGGCAGAGAGAGGAATGGATGTAGATGCTAAACATGAATAGTCTTGCTATTTCCTAGCACGAAACAGCCAATGTCATACCGACATCTTTCTCTTTACTCAAACTAAATTGTTCACCTGTAATATTATTAGATAAAATCGCTAAATTTTCAAGTAAACATTAGCATCAGACAGGAAACATAAGCTGAGTTGGTATCATGCTGGCCTATGACACATGAAACTATGGTTTGAATCCCCTGTGGGACATTTTTCAACTCTGGTTGTTTTGATGCTTTTCTCCTCTTACTCGGCTGAATCCTACCTCTAGTCTGCGGGAGACTCATTGGAATAAACATAATCAACAACAAACTCCTCAACATCAAGCCCAAACTGGGTCCACAAAAACCTTTGGGCCACTTCAGAAGAGTCGGTCATTTTTACTCTATTACACAGCGGACTCACGTCCCTAATACATAAATACCTCCTTCAGGGAGATGAGAAGCTGTTCTGTGCCGGATGCAACACAGATTTTACCCGTCAGACACATTTTAACAGAATGTCTAGACTTTGGAGAGACACGAAGGAAGTATTTTGAATGCAAAAAATTCCAAGATCTATTTTCCGTTACTAATCCCAACAGAATCCTTGATATTATAAAGTCCATTGGCCTTTACAGAAAACTGTAAATACAGTTATTTTGTTTTAAGAAGGGTATCATTTTTAGATTGTTATTTTACCTCAAGTTTTTAACATTTTAAAATCTGATTGTTGACCCGAGCCAAGCCGTGCAGGGAACTGTTGTGAATGTAACCAATTTGTGTTTCGCACGCTCATATGACCTTATGCAGTTGGGAGCGCCGTAAAACTTTTATTAAAACAAGAGATGGATTATAAAGAAATTAAACTGTTTTTAAATGCGCCATATTTCTTTTCACTCAAACTTAATTGTTCTATGTAATATTAGACAAGTCAGACAGGAAAGGTATTGGAGCACCATGAGCTGAGCTGGTCTCATGCTCAAAGATGGATGATAAAAATCATGAACTGTTGTGGAAACTGTAAGTTTTTTAGCTATTTCTGTTCAAGAAATTTTGATAAAGTGGGGTTGTTGTTTTTTCATGGTGTCCTTTATTCATGGTTTCCCCATATGCATGAATCCATTAATTAAATGAATTTTCTAGCCATATGAAACAATACTACTGGGACATCATTGGAGAGGACTTGCATATCTGATGTAATAATTTTTCTGGCTTGACTAAACCTCGTCAGACCAGTACAAGAAAACCCCACGATTCCCGACAAAGCTGGACCACACAGACTCCCCCAGAACCCCAGACAGAACGACCCCACCTGGCCATATCAAAAGTGAGTACTAATATATATCTATGCCTTTATATACATACTAGCTGGGCCCCCTTTCGATGAAAAGAATGATCGGTGCATTAACGTCAACTGAAAGTCATTGGCCTACTATATTTACTCTGTAGGCATACTGGAATGGAGCAATAAATCTTGAGATATGCAAAAAATTAGAAGGTCTAGATCTATACTCTCAAAACAAACGTCGTGAAAAATTGTGTGAAGTTTGAAAAGGGAGGTTTGATGTCATTAAAAATTGTGTCGAGAAAAGACTTCCGTTTTTTTTTTAATGAGACTGCGGAATTGTTGATCATAAGTTAGCCTAGGCCTAGAACTCTGTGTAGACGAAACAAAGCATTTTGGAAAATTCGGAGTAAGCAGTTTGCGTGGATTTTTTAAAGTTAGGTCCTAGCCACACGGATGCTGTGGAGGCCTGCAAAGTTTCAAAGGTGTGGGTTAGGTAATAAGGGAGGAGTTTGTGCACAAAGCCTCCCAAGAGCATTTTTTTATATATAGATATACAGTTGAACCTGCTCAAATGGCCTCCCACCTGTATAAGACAATTACCTGTACAAATGGCCACTTTTTATTTATTTCCTTGTGTATTTTTTTTTCATTATAATGATACCTTATAAGGTGGCCACTTTTCTCCTCGGCAATGGGTGAACGTGTTTAGACAGTTTCAACAGTATTTCATCATAACTTATGCCTGGGGTATTAGATAATTGGATCAAACAAACTACAGGCTTGATCATGGTTAGAAAGGTCACATTTCGTACAAAGGCAATCAAGAAAATGTTAATCTAATTGTAAGTTTTCAATCCTTCACTGCATTTTTGTTTCTTTCTGTTTTCTTTGTTTTCTTTCTCAGAACTGAATGATAGTGCTGAATAATGGAATAAAAATGTAATACTTTACCACCTTTCTCATACCTTAGGAATGACTTAAAGCTGTCTAGCTGTAAAAATAACTGTTGGTTAGCTCTTTGTTTACTAAATTGTGTAGAGAAATGGAGCGTTAACCATAATCTAATCTGATCCAAAGCAATTACAGTGAGTCACCAATAGAAAAGTACATATTTTACACAGTGTCATTATAATGTAAAAAAAAAAAAAAAAGCAAGGGGGAAATGGGAAGCGGGCTGTTTGTACTGGTGATTGTCTTAAACAAGGGGGAGTTGAAACAGGTTTGACTGTGACTGACTCCTCCATTCAGATAAGTAGCTGTTACTAAGCGTTTTATTTACCACATTGTGTTGTGAAATGGAGCTTTTACTGCAATCCAAGCCAATCTAAATCAATCCAAACCATTTAATTTTTTCCTCTCTTCAGATTATCCCAAACTCCCCAATGACATCTCATGGACACAGAACCGACCTCTATTCTGCAACTCCTGTACAGAGCGAAATCCAAATAGTCACATCCTTGATGGTAGGTGTCCTTGAATGCATACTGCCTTGTGGGTGGTTGGAGGGTGTGGTGCCACTGGTAGACCTTTCTTCTTTACTATCCATCTTTTCTTTCTGTTTGTCTGCCTTGCTGATTCCCAGCACTAGAGGACCATTTCTGTGGTGATGTGCTTCTCTCTACTCAAACTCCAATGCATACTGTCTCAGTGGTGGTGTGAAGAAACGGAATGTTGCTTGAGGCATGGGAGTAGAATCTACAGGGAATATGAATGTGTATATTGTATTGAGGACTTACATTTAGAAATATGGAATAGGGGGCTCAATAATTCAGCAGATATGCTGTTTGCCTTTATATTTGAGGGTCAGGAGTTTGATCTGCTCCATCTTCAGGTTATTCTTCTTATGTTACTCTACACCTCCCCTGATCCTTGTGTAGGTATGATCAAGCACCAAGTCTTCTAGAATTAGTACGAAAAGTTTCAGGGATCCAGTGTGCATGTCAGAGATGGGATGAAGGGGGGGGGGGGTAAGTTTCTTGTACTTTAGCTAATTCAATTGGTTGTCTTTCTTTGCTTTCAGTTTTCTTTTTACCTCGTGATTATTTTTTAAACTTTATTTTGCACACCTAAAAAAGCCTTGTCATAACATAATCATAGTGAACATTTTGGACTTCATTAACAAGAATGCTTGACTGTTTACCTTCTCAGTGGCAAAGTTAACCTTTTATAGATGTGACACATTGATTCTTTTGTTAAGAAAAAATTCAACTTCTTATAAAATGAAGACATTCTCAGTAGTGAAGGGATAAAACACTGAGTTTAAAGAATCTCTAAAGGCTGATTGATTTTTGTGAACATTGGTTCTGTAGCTATTGTCAAGGAATTAATTGTTGTCCTGTTTCCTCAGATAATCTGAGAACGTTTTGGGTGGTACCAGTACTTCATGATGCTTGGACGATATTCGACCTCCAGTCAGAACACATCATAACTGGAGTCACTATTTTTGGCTGGTGAGAATTTTTTAACATTGTAATTATCTTTTCTTCACCTTCTTAGTTTCTTGTATATCGTGAAACATGCCAAGAGTAAGAATTTATAAATATGAGGGAGTATTTGATCGAGCCTGATGAACAAAAGGAAGGATGAAGAAAGAAATGTTGTGTGCTCTACCAGAGCAGAAACTACTGCTTAATTTTTAAGCTGTTGATATTCTGATTGACTCAATGCCTAAACAAATTAGTAACCATGTAACCATATTTATAATAAATTGTTATTTTTGTTTAGAGTCTGAGGTACAAGTTTTCTCATTTTCGGATAGTTGAGATAATTCAGTTGTTCCCTTTGTGAATTCCAGGAATAGTCCACAGATGATTAGAACATTCCAGATCCAAGTTGCTGACTCACTACAGTAAGTACGCTTTGGTTTGGAACTTTGGGGTTATGTGTTTTATTGCTTTGAGAACAATTTTCTACTTTAAGATGAAATAACTATTTCTGCCAGATGATTAGTGAGAGACGATGTTTGTGAAGATGAACAAACAGAAGAATATATTACTGTTGCACACTTTAATTAACCATCTGGTGACCAGAAAGGACCTGACGTGTCACAGAGTATGATCAATTCTGTAATGAATATTGCAGTCCCCCCCCCCCCCCCCAAACCCCCACACAATTAGAGAAACCTTGGCTTAAGTTGTAATCCAACAGTGCAACAACTGAACCCAGTCCCCCACACATTAGTTCTCTTTTATTCCTATCATTTGCTTTTTTAAAAATACAGGGTGTCCTAAAAGTTGCACCCCATCCTGGTTTTCAGCAAAAACAGCTTAACTGATATGAGTCCATAACGAATGCTTGCATTGAGCTTCCCTCATCAGCAAAGCAAGCATCGATTCCCTCAGAAAGGCTGTCTTTTACAGACCTGAGTGTTTTAGGCGTGATCTTTTGGCACTTTGTAAGTATTGCACCAATTACCATGTATGAAGAAGGTTTTCAAGATTGGACACCCTGTATAACAGAGCGATCATTCTTTTGTGATTGGTATTATCATTGTCTGTCTGACAGAGGCCCTTGGACTGTCATGACGTCTCACACCTGTCAACGACTGGGCAGTTCTGATCCCAAAGAAGAAGGTATGGAGTAAGTGGGTGGCAGGTGCTCTGATGTGATTTGCTCCGTCTTCCCTATCAAACATCTGTCGTCCTTATCTTTTCTTCTTCTTTCTTGTGTTTGTTACTCTCTTGTAACACCTCTAATCTTCAGCACTTTCTAACCTCACTGTGCTGCTAGTGCTTTAAAACTCATACTAAAACTAAAACGAAGGTACGGTATAGCAAAACTGAGTGTTGACTAATTGTACCTGGGGGTTTTTTGGGGGTTTTTTACTGTATTTTTTATACAAGTCTAATGTTGATGTTGATTTCTATAACAGATTGGGAAAACCATTTGACACTCGGAAATGTTATTGTAATATGCATGGACTTCTGAACATTTTATATAAGGGTAACCTTTTTTTTTTTTTCATTATTGCATTAGTAGCTTTCTCCAATATTCTGTGTAGGTGTTCTGTTTCTTTTTAATATTTTGTTCTTTTTCATGACAATGATTTGTTTTGTTCAGATATATTCAAAAATACTATATTACCCTACAAAAGCAAAATCTGTCAATTCAAACACGGCACACATATTCCCAAAAGGGGGATATTATCATGTTCTTATGCTCAGTAGAATTGTAAATGGACTGATTTATCAATGTCACGCTCATACTGTGCCAGAACAACGTAGGGGGAACTGCTGCTTTTTCTTTCCTCATCCTTACTATCATCATTTTCCTCTACTTCTTTTGCATGTTTGTCACCCTCTCATGAATTGCTATTTTCAGGGTGCCTTGATAATTGAAGCAGACTTTGTGTTGTTGAGGCTAGAGGTGAGCAGAGTAAGCCTGATTCCCGGTCTGGACTTCTCTGTTGACATCCACCTCCTGGCGCTCATATGACCTTATGCAGTTGCGAGCGCCGTAAAACCTTACTAAAACTTTTTTTTAACACAGCACGCCACTGCTAGTTGACAAAACGCCTTGCTCTTTTTAATGCTGTGCAAGCTTAGTTAGAAAAACTATGAGCTTCTTAACACTTTGCGGTCACTTGCCGCAATAATGCGATGGTGAAAATTATCCGTTCCAGTCACTTCTGTGAGAGGCCCGAGAATTCCATTGCAGTCTCTCTCCTGGCTGGGTAGCCAGATGGGGTATTTTGTACTGCTGGCTGTGTGACTGCAAAGTGTTAAACCTTTTGCTGCTTGACTTGAGACAGTCTGTGGCCTGTTTTAACCCTTAGATGGTCATGTGAACAAGACAGTTTCTGGCTCAGTACATAAGCTCTTCTACCACTATCGAATGGGAGAGTTTTACTATGGCAATATTAGTTTGTCTTTGAAATAGTAAAATCATTGTGCTGCTGTTCTGTGAAGTTTCAAAATTGTGCTTTTGTTAGTAAGTGAGGAATAAGGATTTCACTAGCAATGGTACAATGGTACATACATATTGACTGCTCTCCTCTCCCCCTCCGCCGGTAAAAAAAAGTTTCCCTGCAGTCCCTTGTTGGATTACTTACTTTTTTTTTTTCATCTGTTTACAGCATTTCCCCAAGACTTCTTTGGCTTCACGTTCCGCAGTCGCTATCTGCGCCTGTACCTTGTGGACAACCATGAGGGCAGCCACATGTGTTTCCAGGGCATCCAGTTCCACGGAGCCGACTGTCTTGTCGTCGATACCCTGCAGGCGTGTCAGCTCTCCCCCATCACTGACGCCATTATCCTGCAGGTCTGAGCGCTATAAGATAAGATAAGATACATATATTTATTGTCCAGATCCTGGGGCATTGGTTTCATGTTTCACCACGTATGCACACACACACACACACACACACACACACACACACACACACACACCCATTCGCACACACATGTGCACACCCGTATACACATACACTCTTCCGTCACTCATCGTCTCTTCCATTCACATCTGTGCTCATAAACATAATAATATAATAGTGTGTTTGCACTCACAAACAGGCTCACAGTCACATGCATAATATAAATGAACAGTTATATAAACATTAATAGTGTTAAGCTATAATATCTTCTATAGAAGATTTTAAAGTTTTATCTACTTGTGTTACCATTTCTATAACTCTTCTAGAATTACAAAGTTCAATCTGCTCAGTACACAGTTTTGAGAAATTTGATGCAAAAGATTTTGAGTTTCACTACATGTCAAGCTTTTTTAAATACAATTCTTTCAATATCTTGACTATGACTCCAAATAATCTTTTGAATTTGATTGAGCAAATAAAACATTTGATTTCTGACCGCATGGTCTTAGTACCTCAAAATGGCCAAAAATGTTAAATAGAACTTTGTAATTCTAAGGTAGCCCCTTATGTAAAAAAAAGTCTTTGTACATGAGAAAATAATCGCTGTACAGTGCTCATAGCTTGTTACTGAATGTGACAGAGCGCTAAGAAAATGCTATCTATTACTATTATTATAACTAACCTTATCTTCCTTCCACACAGGGGTTGAATACATGGAAGAAGTTCCTGGACATCACACCTGAACAAGTGTACGAACTGGTATGTTTTGTGAGCAAAGAAAAGTGCGACACATGTCTCTTCACTGTTCATCATCTTATTAAGTTAGTAAATAATTCATAAAGAATGTGTATTGACGGGATCAGTTCAAGGTGATTTTTTTTTTGGGGGGGGGGGAAGAATTTTCTCATAAGATAAGATATAATATGGTATACATCATCCGGTTAAAGAAGAAAAGAATAACATTTCGCTCCTTACTGTTTCTTTGACACAAAATATAAGTACATTGCATTATATCAACTCCTTAATTCTCCCACACATGTTCATAAGTACGCATAATCATGCTCGCATATTTTACACTCACAACTGATTATTTTGTACTTCATGCCTCAAAAGATATAATCTTTGAAAAGGTATCAAAAAGTAGCATGTAAAATATGACATGACTGTCCTCAACAGCTGAGACAAAAGATGTGCAAGATTAACCTCTTCAGAAGAGGGAGGGAGGGGGGGGGTGGGTGAGAATGCCTCCTTTGATGAATAACTTAAATTTTTACACACAGAGAGTTGCTGGTGCTTCTCAGACCTCATATTTTGTAAGCAAAACATATGAAGTCATTTTATTTTGTAAATGTTACTTTGACAAAGTGCTAAGCACCTTGCAGGGGTTTTTTTTAGTAGTAAAATGAGACCTGACCTAGTGCTCTTAATGCCTTATCACCATTCCTGATACCATTTGCTATATTCTGGAAACAGAATCTTTTTGTTTGACAGCTACCTCAGAACTGAGAAAGTGTTACTTATTTATCTCTGTATGTTGATCAGTGAATGTTAAATGTGTGGAACATGTCTATTTTAGGTGCCTGATGCTGCAAAAAAAGCTTCATTGTTGGAGGCACTGTACAAGGGAAGAAAAGAGAGTGAGTTTTCATCCTGTGATAACAATAGCAGGGCTGCCCACCATATCGAATTTGGCGGAATCGTTACGATTTTTATTCAATTTGAAGAAAATAAGATCGTAATACCCCTGGTTTCGATTTTTTTTTATATTTTATCTCCCCAAACCCAATGCCAACCTTCCTGGTGTATAAGGGGAGAAAATCAGAAAATCTACCAGACCCGGACAGTT